ACAAAAATTACTATAAAATTTTAAAACAAAATAACTTATAATATCAGAATAAAATAATCAATGTCCAATATGTTCTGGCAAATTTTAACTTCTTATTCATGTAAGTGGTTATATTTTATATTATTTTATTTTATTTCATTTCATTTCATTTTTATTTTATTATTTTATTATATTTTATTATTTTATTATTTTATTTTACTCCCATTGCAAAATCAAGAGGTTTTTTTTCAACAGAATTGCTTTTTGTTCATTGTGCAAGCATATACCGTGTTTTCCCCAAAATAAACCCTGTCTTGTATTTTTTTTGCCACCAAAAAACGCACCAGGTTTTATTTTCAGGGTATGCCATCCATTGACTCACCTCACTTGCGCTTGTCACCCCTGGCCTCCTTTTCACTGTCAGGGGCCGTCAGGAACTTCTTCTGTGGCCAGCAAGGCCAGCAAGGCTTTCCTGAAGGCCTCTGCAGCTGATAACAGAGCCCTGGATTGATCTGGCTCTGTTATTGGCTGCAGAGGCCTTCAGGAAAGCCTTGCTGGCCTTGCTGGCTGCAGAAAAAATGGGTCAGCAAGGCAGGTGTTGGGGTGCGTGTGGTCTGGCTGCAACTGTCTGAAGGTAAGTAGTAGGTCAGCTCCACCCCCCATCCACCCCCTAGCTTAATTTTTACCCATGCACCCTGGAGTGGGCAGGGTCTTAATTAGGGCTTATTTGGGGGGGTAGGGCTAATATTGGGTGCACATGTAAAAATCAAGTTAGGGCTTACTTTTGGGGTAGGTTGTATTTTGGGGAAAACATGGTATATACAGGACCAATAGCTTAGGCATATCTTGCATTGAGTGGGTTGCCTAATTATGTAGCCCTTTTCTTGAAAAATAAAGGAAGGAGGAAGGACAGTGTATGTCTCTCTTTGAGGGAGATGGGTGGTTCAGAAATATGAAAAAAATAAATAAACATGGTCCTTTTGTCAATTTCAGTGTCTTCTTCTTTTTCTTCTTTCCAAACCATTCTTAATGTGCATCTTTCTAACTGAGTGATAGCTTGTTATACTGTAATTTCAGGTTCATGTATGCCAACCAAATAACTTTGAAAATACAACATAATTTTATTAGTGTGCAAATAATAAAATAGTATACACTGGGCTCCCAGCAAAGTATGAGAATACTTTATTGGCAATATCTGCATGATAAAATCGCTCAGATTCGGCACGGCCTGGACTCTTATTGGATAGTTTCAGACGGGATGACGGAGGCGACTGAGACTGTTATCTGGGAGGAATTTGACCCTGTGACTCCTGAGGACATGGACAGGATTTTGGGGAGGCTTAACGCTACCACATGTTTACTGGACCCGTGTCCCTCCTGGTTGGTACTGGCCTCCCGGGAGGTTACACGAGACTGGTTTCAGGAGATTACCAATGCTTCGCTGGGTGAGGGTGTCTTCCCAGCCGCCCTGAAAGAGGCAGTGGTGAGGCCCCTCCTCAAGAAGCCTTCCCTGGACCTGGCTGTTTTAGCTAATTATCGTCCTGTCTCCAACCTTCGCTTCGCGGCGAAGGTTGTTGAGAGTGTGGTGGCGAGACAACTTCCTTGATTCCTGGATGAAGCTGTCTATCTAGATCCATGCCAGTCAGGCTTCAGGGTGGGTTACAGCACGGAAACGGCATTGATCGCATTGGTTGATGATCTCTGGAGGGATCGGGACAGGGGTTGTTCCTCTGTCCTGGTCCTCCTAGACCTCTCAGCGGCTTTTGATACCATCATTCATGGTATCATGCTGTGTTGGCTAGAGGGGTTGGGAGTGGGGGGCACCGTTTTATGGTGGTTCTCCTCCTTCCTCTCTGACCGTACGCAGTCTGTGTTGATGGGAGGGCAGAGGTTGACCTCGAGGTCCCTCATTTGTGGGGTGCCGCAGGGATCGGTTCTCTCACCTCTCCTGTTTAACTTTTATGTGAAGCTGCTGGGCGAGATCATCCGTGGCTTTGGGGTGAAGTGTCAACTGTATGCCAATGACACACAGTTGTACATTTCAACCCCAGGTCACCCCAATGATGCCCTTGACGTGATGTCCCGTTGCCTGGAGGCAGATCTGGATGGGGAGGAACAGGCTCAGACTCAACCCCTCCAAGACTGAGTGGCTGTGGTTTCCGGCGTCCCGATATAGCCAGCTTACACCATCGCTGACTATTGGGGATGAGATCTTACCCCCCTCAGAGAGGACTCGCAACTTGGGCGTCCTCCTGGACTCACAGCTGTCTTTGGATGATCATATGACGGCCGTGGCCAGGGGGGCTTTTTATCAGGTTCGCCTGATTTCCCAGTTGCGCCCCTTTCTGGATCGGGACACCTTGCACATAGTCACTCACGCCCTCGTCACTTCCCGTCTGGACTATTGTAACGCTCTCTACATGGGGCTCCCCTCAAGGAGCACCCGGAGGCTCCAAGTGGTCCAGAATGCGGCCACGCAAGTAATAATGGGGGTTGCCATGGCAACTTGAAAGCTTTGCAAATTGACAGGGGGGACCCATCGCTCCCATGTAACACCTCTCTTGCGCGAGCTGCACTGGCTCCCGGTGGTCTTCCGGGTGTGCTTCAAGGTGTTGGTTACCACCTTTAAAGTGCTCCATGGCTTAGGACCTGGCTATCTACAAGACCGCATTCTGCCACTGATTGCCTCCCACCGACCAGTACGCTCACACAGAGAGGGCCTCCTAAGGGTGCCGTCAGCCAAACAATGTAGACTGGCGACCCCCAGGGGGAGAGCCTTCTCTGTGGGGACCCCTACCCTCTGGAATGAATTGCCCCCGGACATATGAAGGATCCCCGACCTCCGCACCTTCCGTCATGCAGTGAAGACCCTGTTATTCCAGCAAGCCGCTCTGATGGGATAAATGGTTTTAATTTGGTTTTAATGGGGTTTTAAAATTGGTTTTAAATGGAGTTTTAAATTTGGCCTATGATTTAATTATTTTAATCTGCTTTTAAATTCTATTTTGTACACTGTTTTATTATGGCTGTTCACCGCCCTGAGTCCTTCGGGAGAAGGGCGGTATATAAATTAAATAAAATAAATAAATAAATAAATAAATAAATAAATAAATAAATAATGACACTTTGCTCAGCAGCTTTGGGGTGGGGAGGCAGAAGCATAGCTTATATTCCTTTGCTTTACAGTACTACAAAGGAAAGACAAAGAAGAAAGTGGACACAATGTAAATTACTACATGATGTTGGATTTTTGATAAATCCATCTGGGTAACCTTATTGTTATTTATCTCTTCCTACCATGTCCATATGGCAGCTATACCATCTCTGAGAAGTGGTCAGTTAATAGAAACCGTTTTGTTTTACTGAGCCACAGGTTCCTATCTGATTCCTCTCCCTGTCACCACTCAGGCTCAATGAAGTTTGCTAGGAATGTTTTCTTGCAAGGACACTTTAAGCAGTACATGTGTGTGGGGGGTGGGGGAGGTTCTCATAGATTTGGTAGTGAATTGAGCTCACATATGTACAGGAGTTGTACCTTTTACCAATAATCTCCTTAGATGGCCTTTTCAATTTCATCAGAAATTATGAATCTTCTTTTATTTCTATCTGCAAGAGAATGCAAACCACAGTTACCATGTTTTCCTGAAAATAAGACCCTGTCTTACATTTTTTTGAACCCTGAAATAAGTGCTTGGCCTTATTGCCATGCGCTCAAAAGCCTGATTGGGTTTCTTATCAGGGGATGTCTTATTTTGGGGAAAACAGAGTAGGATCCACAACTGTACATTTATTCCCATGAGCTTAGAACATTGGTTTGCATACAACTTTCCTAGTGTTATCAAAGCACCTGTTTCTATACTAGCTTATAAAATTGGGATTTATATAGGTAGTCTTCAACTTACTACCACAATGCACCCCAACATTTATGTTGTTAAGTGAGACATTTGTTAAGTGAGTTTTACCCCATTTTACAAACTTTCTTGCCATAGTTGTTAAGTGAATCATTGCAGTTGATAAGTTAATAGCCTGGTTGTTAAGTGAATCTGGTTTCCCCATTGACTTTCTTTGTCAGAAGGTCTGAAAAAGTGATGACAAGATCCTGGGACACAGCAACTGTCATCAATATGAACCAGTTGTCAAGCATCTGAATTTTGATCACATGATTATGTGATGCTGTAATGGTCATAACCATGAAAAATGGTCATAAGTCGCTATTTAGTGCTGTTGTAACTTTGAACAGTCGTTAAATGAACTGTTGTAAATTGAGGACTACCTGTATTTCTCTCCTCCCAGCTATGTGTTTTTTATGGAACATAATATTAGAATACCATCATTCAAGGAACAAAATTGTCTCATATGGTTACTGTGATTTCAGATCTGTCTCTTTCACATAGTGGTTACTGCGATAGAAGTGTTTCCTGGTATCATGCTGAGGCTTTGATTCACAACAAGCTTGCAGCCAAATGTTATTCTTCTTCTCTCCCAATAAGGTTCCCCCAATTACATCTTGCCTATCTTTGAAAATGAGTAGATTACATCACTAGAATAATATTCCTGAGGCTTCATATCTCCTTTTTAAAAACTTTATTGAGAAGAAAAACTACTTTTGTGGAAGCTTATATAGGACTGCATTGTAAGCCTATAAGGATATGAAACCATTGTACTCCATTTTATTTTATTTTTTGAAACATCCAAATATCATAGCAAGCATAGTTAATGGCAAAGAACACAATCTATGGAGGATCCTGCATCCTGTAGCTTGGTTTTCAGAAATACAAATGAGCATTTTCAAGTCGGCGTGGTTATATTTGCAAATTGGATTTGTGTGTTGGGGGGGGACAGGACAGAGGGCTGAGAGAAATTAAAGGGCTACTTTGAAATTTATGATGTTATTATTTTATTAAAAAAGAGATCAGCATACAAAAAATAAAGGATCAATACATACTAAGACTGTAGCCAAAGTGTTGACTTTTTATTTTGCTTTTTTACACAACTAACTTTCCATTTCCACTTGCCTTTAGAACCATAGGCTATAAAAAGAAATATGTGAAAATTCCACATGGCCATATATGGGTAGAAGGCGATCATCATGGGCACAGCTTTGACAGCAATGTTTTTGGTCCGGTAAGAACATAATTATTGTACAAAACACTATGTTCATGTCATAAAATATATATTTTATTACAGTATAACAATACAATATACAATAATTTAAAAGAGTGCACCATTTAAGCTTTTTTATGAGCATTAAGAAAGATTGCTAGGAGCAGCTTCTCCCATCAGAGAGTTGCAGGAAACTTTTAATGACTGATATTTAAAAGGAAAGGAAAAGCCTTCTTTGATCTGAATGTGACTCATAACTTCCTCTTCCAAATGAACATTTGCAATAACCATAGCTTCCCTTACATTTGGCAGAGCTGCTGACCATACTTCCTTCCATTTGGCTATAATTAGTGCCTTAGGAAATTGTGTATTCCTATTATGACTTGACATTTATTTAGTGCCAACTGTGGACTAGGAGCTAAATAGGACACAGAAAAGCCAAGAGGTTTTTATAAAGCATATTAGACAACCGTTTCTGGAATAGAGGTAAGAGTGTGACAGTTTTAAATGAAAATGAAAGCACTTGTGTAGAAGAAAAATATATGATGCAGTGAAGAATTTTCTTAGAAGAGAAGTGGATCTTCATAATTTCTTTCCAACCATCTATTGAATTGAAAAAATAATGACAAAAAAGTGAGATGAACATTAGAGAGAGGTAATGGTACTGGGAGGGAAACAAAAAACAAAAGGACTTCCGGTGGCTCCGTGATCGCTGATGGACAGTCCTTTAGGAGCTCCAACCCCCCGATTCTGTTTGCCGCTAGAACAGCGAAAATCAGCTGTCTAGCAGCTCGAAACTCTCCCCCTGGGGAAAAGGGGGAGAGAAGAGCAGAGGGGTTTGGATAGAGCTCCCCTAGACCCCCAGGTTTTTCTTTTTAAGCCTGGGGTTTGCAGGGTGAGAGCTCCCTGAAAGCTCTTCAGTACTCCGAATCCGGGATGAGTCTGCTTTATGCAGAACAAGGCATCGTGACCACACCAGCATCAGCAACTTTATTTTAAGGGGAAAAAATTTGGACTTGAAAGCTGGCAGAGCAAACACAGGAGAAATGAAAATTGCAAGTACTAAACTTTAACTCCAAAATCTATCACTTCCCTCTGAATCTCTGTGGTAGAAAGGGAAAGTAAGATGGCGTGTGACTCTAACGGGGCGTGGAAAAGTGAAACTTAGATACAAAAGTATTATGTGGTGTTGAAAGCCCCTGTTTAAAAGAAGAGGATTTTATTTTAAAAGGAGAAGGATTTAAAAATTATATCTAAGGAAAAAAAATTGCTGGCTTTTTTGAAAGTGATGAAGGCTCACAAATGCTGACTGTGGATCTTTTGAAAGAAGTTTTGGAATCATTTTTGGAATCATTGGATAATTTTGTTGGGCAGCAGACCAAAATGGCGGCACCACAGTGACCCCCGAACTTAGGGAGGCGATGTTCGACATTTTCAGGAGTGTCGGGGGTCAGTTAACCATCTTTTGACCCCCTCCCAGAGAGCCGAGGTGTTGCCGGCTCGATAGAGCCATGGATGGAGCCTGAGGAACAGCTGACTGTCAGGGAGGAGGTTAGAGGACGGCGTGGAGAACGGCGCAATCAGGGCCCAGCTGTCGGGGCCTAGGCGGCCACCAGGGCTAGCACAACCGGCGCCGTGGGCAGCGAGGTTGCTGTGGTGGTGGCGCTGACGACGATGGTGCTGACAGGAATGCCGGGGCAGCTAAAGAACCGCGGTTCGGAGGCAGGCTTGGGTGCCACCGGCAGCAGCACGGAGGTGGCAGCGATGGCTACAGTGGCGGAGGTGACTGTGGTGATGAGGGTGGTGGCGCTGGAGGTGGCGTGGGCAGCGGCAGTACCTGGAGGCTTGGCTGCAAAGACGCCCCCGTTGTTGGTGGAGAAGAGGGCAGCATTACAATCGTTAGGATCCCTCAGTTTTTGAGGGATCTGGACACTCCCCCTCTTTTTTTTTTCTAAAGCATTGGAGGGGGCTTAATGGGCTGAATGGCCTGAAGATCAAGCTTATGGGGAAGGAACTGAGGATTGTCAGCTGGGAGATGACAGTTGGTCTCCCCCTTAACTGTTCCCCCCCCCTTATTAGGCTTAGGCCTAATATGGCCACTCAGCATAAATTTACAACTTTTGATTGATCTGCAGCCTTATTTGACCATTATTTGACCATCTTGTCCCCCCTGGGTTACCCGGATTATTCGATTATTCAATCATTTATTCCATCCTATGACTACACCTTGCTTTTTTCTGAACTAAGCCTCGGCTATCGCTGGTGTCAGAACGGGAGGAGGCACAGACACCAAGAGTCTTGGACTTGAGGCTGTAATTGCTGCTAAAGATGCTTCAACAAAGTACTGAGTGAAGGGTCTGAATGCCAATATAATATTTCAGTTTTTTCTTTTTAATAAATTTACAGATATTTCTAAAATTCTGTTTTCACTTTGTCATTATGGGGTAATGGGTGTAGATTAATGAGGGAAAAAATGAATTTCAATAACTGTAGAATCAGGCTGCAGCATAACAAAATTGACAAAAGTGAGAAGACCTGAATACTTTCTGAATCCACTGTACATGTGTATAATTATAAATAAATACATATAAGCACACACAAATGTATTAATCAGGTATAATATAAGTGAAAATTTTCTCTATGTATTAAATTCATCGATCATCTAAGTCACTATAAGTTCAATAACAATAACTCAATAGCTGATATATACTAGTTACAAGTTTCAACCCTTGCCCTTCAGATAAGAATTATAATTTCTTAAGTTTAAAACATTTGCATACTTCCAATTGATGATCAGATGTTAAACTCTATATCTAGTCTTTATATTTTATATCTGTTACCATGACAATTTTAAAATATACTCTAGGTAGTAATTTTGTTGCTTGTAATCAAGCTTGATTAAAATGAATATGTAAAATCTCTTCTTGGTGATGGGGAGGGCAATCTGAGCGAAAGCAGGGATAAACTGGTGAGAAAAGTTGGCAAAACCCAGGAAGCTTTGTAACTGTTTACGCATGCATGGAGGTTCTCAATCAAGTACAGCCTGCACTTTTAGAGGATCCATTTCTATGCCCTGGTGTGAAATGCAGTACCCCAAATAGTCAATCTTCTCTTGGTGAAATTCACATTTAGAAAGTTTAGCATAAAGTTTGGCACAACGAGTTTGTTTAAAATCACCCTGACTAGTTTTACATGTTCTGCTTTGGTCTCTGTATATATTAAAATGTCGTCCAAGTAGACCAGGCCCCCCTTATACAAATGCTGATATAGCACTTCATTTATTAACTGCATAAACACTGCAGGGGCTCCTTGTAACCCAAAGGGGAGCACCTTGAATTGGTAGCACCCGAGGGGGGTATTAAATGCCATTTTCCACACATCCCCCTCCTTAATTCTGACACGGTAGTAAGCCTCCCTTAATTCCAGCTTTCAAAACACTTTCCCTTTAGCGAGGTGTGCTAGCATATCTTTCATACGGGGGAGGGGGTACATGTTCTCCACACTGATCGCATTCAGGTTACAAAAATCAGCACATAGGGAGTTGGAAGAGCTGAGCCATCTTTTTTCTCTCTAGATAGCACTAGAGCTGCAATTTTTGGTTGGTCTGGTTCGATGAAACCCCTTGCTAGGTTTTTCTCAATAAATGTTCTCAGCTCTTCCAACTCCCTCGGTGACATGCTGTACATCTTGGGTTTAGGGAGTTTAGAGCTGGGTAAGATTTCTATCGCACAGTCGGTGGCATGGTGGGGAGGGAGCTCGTCTGAGGCTTTTTTGCTAAAAACCTCAGCCAAATCCTTGTATTCTATGGATATGCCCTCAGTTGGTATGGTGTGACCAGACATGGCTGTTTCTCGATTCTCTGCCCCCTCCGTTCCTTTATGTGGATTCTCAGCAAAAGTCACATTCCTCTGGAAATTTATGATGCCTTGTTTCCAATTGATTTTTGGGTTCCATTTTTTCAGCCATGCAAGGCCCAGAACTAACGGCCATTTCATGCCAGGTGTCACTATAAATGTAAGCCTTTCCTCATGGCTTCTGATGCCTATATGTAGAAGCTCAGTGGCAAAAGAAGCTGGCTCCCCTCCTGCTATTGACCCATCTAGTTGGCAGAAAGCAATGGGGTTTTTCAGCTTTCTTACATTAATCCCCAACTTCCCTACTAGGGTTGGGCTGATCAAACAATGGGTGCACCCTGAGTCCACTAGAGCGGACATATTTATCTCCCTGTCCTGGTTTGGAATAAATAGTCTTAAGGGGAGGGTAAGCAGTTTAATTGGTTTGCTTACCAGTGGTTCATCTTCTGGAACACTTCCAAATGAGTGTGATTCCTCCTGCTGAGATGCCAGGGTTTCCACCCCAAAGAGGGGGGGGATGGTCTCCCTGCTCCTCAGAGCAGTCTCCTTCCCATGCCAGCCCGGTTTTTCAGGGTTCTCCCCCTGGTGGGTGGTTCTGGGCAAGTGTTTGCAAATGACACTCTGCAGCTCGGTGCCTCTCTTTTCCACACTTGAAACAGGCTGAGGATTTTGGAGAGAATGCGGTTTGTGGTTTGAGGAGCTCTTGCTTCCATTGGGATGGAAATTTCTTCCATGTGTCGAGCCCCAGCTGGGACTTGCCATCACTGGGGGCCTGGGGAAGTCGGAGCATTGGTAATACCCACCTGAATGCCTGGGACGGTGGGGGAAGCTCCACACAGCAACCAGCTGGGTCCAGCATTGAGCGGCATGCAGGCTTGACGAGATCGGCACAGCTTCCCGAATCTGAGTTGCCGGTGCTGACCTATGACGCTACGGGAGCGCCAACAACATTGATGGGCGGGATTGTCAAAACCGCCGAACAGCTGATGGGGGGGGTTGGGGATTGCATACCGGATGGTGGTTTAACAGGGGAGGGAATAAATAGTGCTGCACGGCGGTTGCGGGCAGCGCTGACTTAAACCCCATGATCCGGCTTGTTCTGTTCTTCTTGCTGTGCTGCTGCTTAGACCTAGATTAAACTGTTGCAAATCGACATCGTTTCTTGGT